GTGTGTGTGATTGTATGTGTGTCTCTGTCTGTCGACTCTGTGTGTGTGCCTCTTTGTGTGTGTGTGTGTGTGTGTGTGTGTGTGTGTGTGTCACAGAGAGAGAGAGAGAGAGAGAGAGAGAGAGAGAGACACAGAGAGAGAGAGAGAGAGAGAGGGGGGGGTATGTTTTATATCGAAACCTCAGAAACATAAATGTGATTTCGATATTAATAGTCACAAACTGTGTGAGTGCTAAATGACTTCTTTCAAGGAAACACCCTGCGAGTGTGATGCGTTGGTGTAAGACGGACCCTTACACTTTCTGCGCCTTAATCGTACGTCGCCAAGGTTCGCTGCATAAAAAGCATAAATTATAACGTAATGTAAGAGGGTGTGTAAACTTAAAATGATTTCGGACTCATACGGTTAGCACTATCATCGCCGGTCAGAGTTAGATGATCATTGTCAATGGCAAAATTATTTCTCATTTCGACGTCATGGCCTATCCTCTTTGTTGTTAGGCCATTTTTCATATTAACGCCTTAAGCTTTTCCCCTTCTCTTAGCGGATAACGCAAAACCCCATTTGTGAAAGCGATGGGATTTATCTTCTTCACCTTGGGGCACGTTAAGGGTACAGTTCAGGGCACGCTGTAATTCTGCAAAATGATAATGGTTTCACTCAAATCGCAATTTGGCAATGTGTGAAACACTAAAGGACGGCAAAAAAACTTTTTCGTGTAGGGACAAAAACTGTCGTTTTGGCACTATTTGATCAAAATAGTGATAAAATCGTTGCCAACAGCAAACCAGCAGGTTACTATCTTGGCGGAGTCAAGTCTTTTGTTTGTACGTGGAAAGCGATAGGCTAGTATTGGACTTCCCGATCAAATGAATTGATGAAGCAAAGAAGAGTCAATCCAACGCAGTGTGAAATGGCCAGGGTCATTATCTGACCGGACCCGATCCAATTTGATCACTGAGAATCTGCTCTAAAGTAACAAGATTTGCTTCTGTCTTCATCATCCCTCTCATGGCAGCTGGGCATGTGCGTAGGTTTTACTTCTTTACTTTCCCCTCTTTTTCTGTGGGTAGTTAGCAAGTACATGTACTCTGGAATATGTTGCTCATTCTTTCCTTTCAAATATATTGCGTCCTTATTTCCCCTCCTTCTTTTCTAAGTATTTAGTGTTCAGTAACACGTATAATCTTCGGCACTTAAATGATTTTTGAATTGCATGTTCCTCATGATTATTATTTAAACTAAAACTAAACTGTTGTTTCCGTCTTTCTGTCTTAATCTCCCCTTACATTACCAGGCAGTTACACTGTGAGACTAAAAGTTGGCTGGAAATAATTTCAGCTTCGTTTTTCAGCAACATAGCACCATGTATTGTGAAACCACACGAAAATAACGTTATTAGCTTCAATACGCTTTACGTATTTGAACAATAGCTCTGGCTCTACCTTTGAAAAAGACGACTTTTTAGCCTTTAATGTGCAGCGCTTCAAAAAGTAGTTACAAATCCGGTTTATAAAATACCTTGGCATTAAGTTAGAAAAATATTTCAAAACAGATATTGTAGTGCTATCGTTGCAGAGCAGAGAAACTAGTGAAAGCAACCCAAAAGTCGGATTTCTCCCAATTTCAAAAACCTTTTATTTGATTTGCGTGTGCGTATATTTGGTTTAATTTTTAATTCTTTTACTCTTTTTTTTTTGGGGGGGGGGGGAGGCTCGCTTTGCCCAGATAACGACTTCCCTATCACTGCGACTTCTCAGGGGTCTTTGTAAACGAAAGTTTTCTTCTTATAAGATTGCCGATACGGAGTTGAACGCTTCAGGAAATCGAAATTAACATCGGTCTAGCAGCTTCGGAAGACCCGCATATTGAGAGGTTATGAAGAGAAGTCTTAGAGGTGCTTGCTCCTTCCAGAACAAATCTAGACATCAGGAGGGAAAAAAGGAAAGTGGGGAGCGATAAATTTTAGTATAAAAATCCTG